TTTCTAGGAATTTTCCTGTCACAGATTATTCCAGTTATTTCTCTCCACTTGTTCCATCCAGCTTTCACTCTTATTTTTATTACTGTTCATATGAATATTACAGCTTTAGACAACAGAACGATACAGGGCTTCTGCCCAGAATTCAACTGTAAATGAAAAACAATGGTGGCTGGAATTCTGACGGGATCAGCTGAAGCTTATCTGCATCTGTTACAGTTTTTGGTTTTCAAACTTTGCTGGTCTACAGGTAACACATGCTCCACATCTGAACTTCAGGGTTTATTTCTGAAAAAAAGCACCCCAGACATTAGCCCACAGAGCAGTAAATTCTGTCTTGCATTGCTTGAGGACAATGCTAACAAGAAGCGAAAAGGGGATCCTTCTGAACTCTGCTGCGTGACTGTCTGACAGGTGATTTGACCACAGGCTACACGGCTGTCCCTGCCGCCATACAGATAGCCCTTAACGAGCTTTAATGACAGGTAATCAAGCTGGTAATGATGCTGACAAGAACACCCTGTTATCCATGGAATTTATAGTGTTTCTCCTCCTCAATTAAACAGGACAAAAAAACATACATACATTCTTGCAGGTGGGCTCAGAGCTGCAGTATTGTTAAATAAACACTGGAGCTTTACTTCCAAGAGCATGAGTGAAGCAAAACAACATGATACGGCTTTCGCAGCTTACTTTACCTTCTAAAGGTTTACTACCGGAAAGGAAAGAGAGGCTGAATTATTTTACAGAGAGAAGGAGACAGACACTGAGCGATGACAGTAAAGATCTGTTAGTCGCACGTGGTAGCTCATTTCTACCACCTGAAAAACATACAACTGCAGCACTACACATTCTTCAATATACGTATGCTCATTCAACTTGTGTAGTATACCTGGCAAAGCTAAAGTTCATTTTAAAGGAAGCTATTTGCTTGGCAAATAAGATACCTGAACAATTTCCATTTATATTAAGAGCAATGAAATGCCAAGGTAACCCAGTGACCATTAGAGTAAGAAATTCTTTTGGAATTTTGTTGGCTGGTGCGAGGCCACTGTGAAACTTTATAACAGAGATAAATTCAAATTGTTATAACATATCAGATTTTGATAACAAATGTAACTTTTCCACAGCTTACTCTACATGTATGCACTTTTAACCTTCATAAGAGGCTAAAACTCAGCTAAAAACTAGTTGTGCATGTCCTTCACACATTTTGAAGTACGCAGTGATCCAATTCAGTATCCCCTTAATTTTCTCCACAAATTCACTATTCTGTTCAACTTAACTTAGACGAGACATATCAAAGAAGTTTTTTTCATTTCCTCAAACCTTAACTGACTACAATCAGTTTTCACACCAAAAGGTGATGCTAGGCATGTGTTTTTTACTGCACAGAGAACTGCAACAAAGTTGCCCAGCATTTCACCTTAGTAATGAGAAAAGCAATTGGATTTTTGTCTCAAATTTCAGCAAAACCGGCTATGTGTTTTTGTGTATTGGAACAGTTCTGCCAGAGCCCTGACAAGAAAGCCTTTTGAATTTTTTTCTGGTCATCTTCTCTATTATGTTATGTTCTCTTATTTTGTTTTGTTTTTTTGTTTCTTCCTCACAGTGAAAGTTTATTTTTTTTACATTAGAGATTGAGAGTAACACTAGACATCATTAAAACACTGAACTAATGCAAAGGAGTACGTGCCACTACCTGCTGTTACCCTAAACACAAAGCGCACACCTATTTGCACGTTTTTTTCAGGATGTTACTTATGTAGATTACTAGATACACATCGACAGAAGACATTTAGGAAAAACAAGATTATTCAGAAAAAATCCCTTTTATCAAGTGCGGAAAGCTAAGACCTCATTTTTTTTAATTTGTAGTCGCCAGTGTGTTTTTTTCTGCTTCTCCACAAATACCTTACTTCAGCTCTACAAAGCATAACAGCAAAAAAACATTCTGTAATTGAACATAGGGAAAAGGTAAAGCAATGGGGAGTGGAAGCTTAATGAGACTCAAAATATATGTATTTTAAAGGCATGGTTCTAAACTAATTACAGTCTTTTCATGGTATTTTCAGTCCCCCCCCTTCCAAAGATTAATGACATATCATGTTCCGCACTAATAGTTCTAACAGGATAATGACGCAGACATTTCACCTCCTTACCATCAGAGATTCTGTTAGATGCAGCGGGTGTTTCAAGTGTTGTCTTATTGCCTCAAGGTAACAAAAATAAATGTAGGCCCAGCTTTCAAAGGTACAACTGCGTATGGTCTGCCACATTCAGTTATTAGGATATCCAACTGAAATAGGCTCTGGGAGAACAGGAATTCAGCGGTGGAAGAGACACTTCCTTTCAGTATTATTGGGGAACAGACCAGAAACCACTAAGCCCGATGCCACACTGTTTACTCTAAAAGCTGCTGGACTGGGAAGAGCTGCCAACCTTCACATTACACAGGAAAGCGTGGTCTTGCCTGCTCTGCATGTGTGTAGATTAATGAGCTTCACCAGGGCAACAGCGACAGTAGCCAGACCTGCTCTGTAAACTTGGCTTGTGTGACCTTTCGGGGTAGAAGAAAAGCAGGATGTCTCTTTCTCACACCTTACTAGAGGACACATTTGGCCAGAACAACCAGTGATAAGTGCTTACTAAATTTATGACAAAATATGCATTCTTTTCTTTTGTAAATTGGAACTATTGGCTAGCCAAGCCAAGACATTGTAGGCCAAAATGTACTATCCTTCGAAATAACCTTTATTTTTAAAAAGAAGGATAGGGTGAAGAAGGACTTCATCCCCCTACCAAAATTATAGCAACACTCGAGCTGTAAAATCATGTAAAAATACATTATCCTTGCAAGCCAGCTTCATTTACTCAAATACACTTTTATATAAATCCATCACTCTGTTTACTTTCTTCATGACACAAAACTGAACTTCACTGTTTTTCAGATTTTTTGACAGGGTGTTGTCATTGTAGTCTCAACTGTTGCTTATGATTCATCAGTAATGTGTGCGGTCTTGTGCACAGAAACACCTGCCTTGTGAACTTGTGCTACCAGTCCCCATGTGACTTCTATTATCTCAATCCATGTGATTAAAACATGTTTCTTGCAGCCAGATGCAGTACTTTACACACATATAACACAATCGAGGTTATAGATCATGCTCTTTAACATATGAATCATGCGGTGAAACTGACTTTTTCACAAACATTAAATGCAGAGTTACATGAGCCACAGTGGTGTTTGTGTTCTTTATCAAAAATAACGCTGGAGCTAGTTTTACACAAAATGGTGAGGAGAAAAAAAAGAAAAAGGGCTTTTGAATAATCAAGATAAACTCCTCCTAGACTCAAGGACACAGATAAAAAACATTAAATGAGTTACATTCCATCAAGGAAATGTAATTATTTAGTTTGGGAGATTAGCAAAGGTAAGAACATAAAGTGTCAAAAACAGTATTTGAAGGAAGATAAATGACTTTACAGTTTGCAGAGTCTGAGAAAGTTACATTGTTGGCTACTAGGGAACTAGGGATAAGACAAACGGATCTATTTGTTTGTGGGGGCTGAAGTGAATGCTGTCTCCTGAAAGTCTAAGGGAAAAGAGAACTCAGACAGAAGGGGAAATTCACAGGATCCCTCTGCAATGTCACGTGCAATTCCTTTTGATTTTCTGCAACCACAAGTGTTTGCTCACTGGATCAGCACTACAAAAGGCAGTTATGTTAACCTGACAAAAAATAAAACCAAACCCCAGGCACATTTCATAAGGCATAGAGATTGTTTCATTTATTTTTTTACATATAATATCTGTTTGTGATTCATACCAACTAATTTATCACCTGTCACAAAAGGGATGTCACTATTTATTAACGCACTGTACTGAGTATCAGCCTGCATCAAAAACGTTCCTCAAAATGTATCTAAAGATGAGACAGAATAAAGCAATGCCAACGTCAAGCCTACTGTAGATATCTTGTACTATAGGGTTTTTTTAGACCTGAGATAAACTTCAAAGGCTCCCTTTTGTCCTTCTATGATAACATTCATTTAATTTCTGCTAATACCAGCATTTAAAGGCTACAACCAATTTTTAAATATTTATCATAACTGCCCATTAGTTCATTTCTAATTTTTGATTAGACTGGTATGGTACCATCCAAGGCTCAAAAGACAGGTAAACATAATCACATGAACAGGGGAATGTTACTGGCTTGCCACACGGATATTTCAGAGGCAAAGCAGAACAGGAAAATGTGTGCAGTGATCTGGTACAGTAGGTACTATATGTTCCGTATATAATTAAACACAGCAGTTAAGCTCCAGAAATAAAGTAAAAAATCATATCGAGGAAAAATTGAACCTTTGAATGCACCCATTTTCCTGAACACTTGCTTATATTTCATCACAGTTTAGAGAACAAGAGCTGGAAATGTCTACAGTCCACAAGCATGTCAGGAGGATATCAAAACAGTTGCTCCACAGCTAAAGTGCTGATTACTAACAAGGGGGTCTCACTGACTGGACAAGGAGGTCACAGTGCAACTCAGCACAGAACATGACAGAAGCAGAGGGATTCCTTGGTAATTTATAAATAAATCATGCTGTCGCATGAAAGGAAAAGCTGTTATGCCGAGATTCTCATCTGTCACTGACCAGCTGGAGAAAGTTTTCTTAAAGAGAAAAACACTTAGAGGCTTTTCAGGGGATTAGGAACTGGCTGTATATTTACATTACCAAATGGAAAGGGTGTTAGGGCAAGGCCAAGAGGCCAAGAGCTGAGCCCACATCCATGATCGTAAATGAAGTGTTTTGTGTCAGGGTAAGCAGGTAATTCCTACCGCCAACGAGCCACAGCAACCCTATGAATCATTACTGAGGGAAGAAGCTCCACTGCTCATCACAGCAGAAACCTTAGAACCACAGAGGAACTAACTGGTACCGACTGAATAAATACACATCTGTTCTCCTAGTTCTGTTCAGCATTCCAAGGAAATAACCCTGCAGGTCAAAGTTGTACACTGAAAGGGTGGTACCCAAAAAAGTTTGAAAAAAGTTCATTTTATATTCTTTTAGTATGTTGTTATTCTTTTAGAATACAATTTTCTTTTAATTCATATTTATAGTCCCCGTTTCATTCACCTCCAATGAGGAATGACCATTTTTTAATCACATTGGCATTACTTCTAGGATTAAATGGCACAGGATGAAGGAGGATTCACACTTCTTATTGCACATGTGCACTGCCTTTCAGTTCTCTGCATGCTTCCGAGGTCCCTAGTGCAGAGCTTACCTTCAACTTGAGAAATAGTTTGGTTCTCACTTGCAATACCAGAAACTCACTGGGAGGGGGCGCTGCTGTGACATGGTCACCCAGCCCAGGTGGCTCTAGGTCAAAGGTCAAAGGTGGGCCACCAATTGGGAACTCCAATCACAGACAGCTATTTACATAGCCCAGTCTCTAATGGCTCCATTCATTAAGGGTTAATACCAGGGCCCTTTGGCAACCAAGATACTAGAAAGATAGGGCTTCTCTGGAACCAGTTCTGAGAAAGGTAACCAGATACTGTATATTCTTAAACTCTTCCAAAAATCTGGATATCTGTAGGATTTAAATATGCCATGACAGTCTTTGCAGCTACAGCCTAGCATAAGCCTGCATGCACTATATTAAAAGCCTAACATTAAAAGGAAAATGTAGAAAATGTATGAGACTGTAAAATTCTGATCTTATCTAAAATTTTAGCTTTATAGATAAGGGATACAAACAGTGACACATTTTATGACTGAATACTGTACATTATTCTAGAACATGTGGTTTACACTGAACCTAAAAGAAAATTTAACACTTGTCAAATATTTAGACAATAACAGGCCTGTTTATTAATTATAATGCTGGGTAAAAATAACAGGAAGCTATGTCTGGTTACGGACTGTGAAGACAGAAATTTGTCACACCTTGTCATGAATTTATCCTTTAAAAAAAAACTGATCCCCATACTCAGAACGGTTCAAAATTCACCTCGGGAACGCCGGAATAATTGGATGGAAAACTCAGGAACTCTTTAGAAACCACGCTCAAAGTATTAACATACAGAATTAAATAGCAGCTATATTTTAGTATTGAGTATTAACACTTATGTTTTAAGTATTACAGATCATAATTAGGAACATTATGGTAGAGGTTTATTCCGCGCTAAAAGGAAAAGAAAAGAGAAACATCGTTTTGGCCGTGGAGCCTTCTTCAGGTGGAGGTGCTTTTATAATACCTCAACTTGCTCTCCTTGAGACAAACAGACAGAGAGAGAAGCTGGGGGTCAGAGTGCAGGGTCAGCCATTTATACAGCGCCCCTGGAGAAGTTGGGGTTAAGGGCCTTTACTCAGGGGCCCAACGGAGTAGGATTCCTCTGCCGGCCGCGGGATACGAACCGGCAACCTTCCAGCCACAGGCGTAGATCCTTAGCCACAGGATAGCTAGGATACTGGGCAATCACTTTTGTTTTAAAGGTACTGGGACTCAACAAGACGTGCCATTATGCAAAAATCAAACAGTACCAGACACCAGTCCAATTCAAGCCCTGCCTCTTAGTTGTAGCTGTCTTTCTGTTTATTCGATGAGAAACACGGTGAAAACATTTACCAGTTGTGGGGTGTCCTGTAGCAGAGGTAATAAGGTTGACTCCAGAATGGCTGTTTGATCCTTGCCCAGATTCTGCCACAGGCCAATCAACAGTATTATGAGGTGGGTGGCACTTCTGAGCCGGGTGAATGCTTGACAGAGTGCAGCTCGGTTCTCTTCAGTAGCATCTGCAAGGGCTACGACCTGTAGAAATAAAATGTATATACACAGGTCAAGAAGAAAAACAGTGTTTTGCAAACTAAAAGAGGAGCCCGATCTGGAGAACATGCCCAGGGGAACTTTGCTATGCGGCGGTAACCAGAAGGGAAAATGATTATCCGACGCTCTGAAGGTAGCACAAGCAGTGCATTGTCAGAAAGTCATTCACATCACACAGCTCATTTGTAAAATATATTAGCAACATTTTTTTTTAGAAAGCATGCAGTATCACCCAGGACAAAAATCCATTATTTAAAAAATCAACAGGAAAAGACACGATACAATGATGGGAAAAAAAGCCTTTTTAAAAAACCCTGTTGCGATTTTCTGAAAAAGACAGATCGCAGTGCCTTGTAAATGTTTTCACCTCCTGTCACATTTTGCAGAGTTCTAACACATTATTTTTTTAAAATAAGCTTCTTGATACAAAACTGTAATGATCAAGCTAAACAGTGATCTAAACAAAGGATTTTGAAACTAGAAAGAAAACACACAATCATAAAGTTTCACTTTGTATAAGTATTCAGCGCCCTATATCAGTGCTTGGTGGGAGAACCTTTGGGAGCAATTACTGCTCTGAGTTTTTCTGGATACAATTCAGCCAGCTTTGTATAGTGGGATGAAGTAATTTTTGCCCATTCTTCTTGGCAAAACTGCTCCAGTTCTAACAACTTCTGATGGACTGGAAGGGTGGCTCGAAGCAGGTAGTATCTAGGTGGTGTGACACACATGACGCTTATTAATGACGATCAGAAACTTTGAAATGTTTTTGTAACCTTCTCTTGATCTGAGCTTTCCTACCACTTTATCCCCGCGTTGTTTCGAAATCTCCTTGGTCTTCATGCTTGGCTTGAAATTCAATATCTGACTGTGGGAACTTAAAAAGACAGATGCATTTACTCTGAAATCAACTTAAACCACTTTGATTGACCACTCTATATATTTTGTGACCTTTCAAAGGTAATCTTTTACACCTGACCTGATTTAAGAATGCTGTAGCAAACAGACTGAATATGTATGTACTGTAATTGAGAATTTTCTTTTAAAGTGTTACAAATTGGACTGATTTACATATTTCTAACTTGTTTTTGCTAGAATTGTGTAAATACAAACTTCCCATTTGAAATTGCAACGACTGCAGGTTTAGATGTCATCATAAAGCAAACAAAGGGGAACACCTCTGTGGCAATGTCATAAACATAGCTAGATTAAATATCTGATCGATAACTAGTAAGATTTCAGTAGGTACTTACATGGCTTACCATGTCTGTAGAGAGACACAGCACCCATTGCGAGAATAAATGCCACTTAAAGCAATCGCTTGACGTTATAGATGAGAAATTTCTGAACAGCCAAGAAGAAGCTAAGATTTTCTAAAGAAATTCATTAGTAAAGACTACTCTATACTGATAAAAGCCCTGAGTTTGCCAAACTAAATGGAGAGCACTAAAAGACCTTTTATGAATATAAGTACACGACTGATTGATGCCAGGTGAGGAACAAAGGCACATTTAGCAGGAATGGAGGAACAGACCCAACTTTGTGTCATGTTTATTCAAATCGGTGTAAAAAGCTTCCCATATTCTTTAGCGCTGCCAAAGAATATGTCTTCAAAGTTGGTTCCAAGAGTCTACCCAAAGCCGTCATTCTGTGGCTCCTGCAGACTGATACAGGGAAGAAGTAATTGGGAAAAGCTGACAGAAAGGGTGGGGACTGTGATAGAAGGAAGGTGGCTGAGAGGCACCAATTAATGTGAAATTCTTCTGACCCGGGTGGAGACTCCCAAGACACATTCAGTTGAATCAACAATATACTGCCTGCAAGAATATGCTGAGGTTACCGTACTGTTTTAAAAGCTGAACCCTGGAAAACCAAGTATAAAACGTATACATTAATAAATAGCAAAGAGCAGCTTTTCTGTTATCAAACACTGGTGCAATTAATACTAAATAACTCATTAATAACTTCTTTAACCCACAAAATTATTCAGTTTGAGCAGTGACGCTTTGATTAAAAACACTCATTTTTAAGAATGCTGTATAAATGTTTTGAAAATCAACAAAACAGAGCATCATTGGAAGAGGACGGATATTTTTGCAAAGGCACTCTAACATAAAAAATTCCACCTTTCTTTCCAGTCATAACCCCTCAATAAGCAATAAATAAGCCTAACTGTCTAAAATGTCTATTACATTTGAGATCTAACTTATGATCACATAACATATGTCACACAGTAACGGTGTTGCATCTGCCTTTTTTGAATGACTGATTCAGATTTCAGAATCAAAACAAAAAAGCATGTCGTTTAGTTCCCACCGTTGCAGGATGTTTTCTGCTTGAGCACAGTTCCGGTCACCCTCTGTTACTGCCATGAATGGTGTTGAGGAGTGGTCACTGTGCTTGCCTTAGACCCACTCTATATACTGTAGAACAAAATATTTCCACAGGGCATGATGGCTACTTCTGGTTAAGTTATCCCTGCCTTTCAGCTACTCCTGCTATGTCCCATGTATCTGGAAAATTTGAAATGCACTTAGGCCAGGTCACCTGAGGTCCTACACTACACCGTCACTAACACTTTATTAACAATTCACTGTGAATTAATACACACACTTATGGAGAAAGCAGTAAATGAAGCCATTATTTCAAATAGAGCTATGGATGCAAAAATGACAACTTTTTGTTCCCTCAGGAAGTTGAGCCGAGAGTCCATGTGTTCAAAATTGCGAAAGTCATTGCTATGTTCAGTGGTGACAACATGATACATGAACTTTTATCAAGAACCGTGTTTATGTGAATAGAGCTGATTACTACCACAGGGCTTCTGGAAGCTCCCCAAAAACACATTAGCTGTATAAACACTCAAAGAGAACTGCCATTATACAATCACAGTAGATGAAATAAGTCACATTCCAATAAAACAATTATTTTCTATAAAAGTATTTTTAACCTTGTGATCTTGACTTGACTTTCCTGGACACATTTACAATGAGAAAGATAAGCAATCCTCTGACTGATCGCTACAAGCCTAACTTCTGAAACATAGCATATGCTAGATCACAAATTTGTATAAAACATAAAAAGAAATTCTGATAATATTTTATGGGGGTGTGCTTATAATATGTGTGTTTGTAAGCTGAGTGCTGTAAATTATTATTCAAGGTTGCTAGTTTTAGAAGACTGCAAGAATGAAATGCTGCTTTTCTTTCAGAAGACTTTGTGACATGTGGGCTCCAAAGTGGTGGAGCAGTAAAGAGCACAGTCTGAGCCCTATGATCTAGAGGATGCTTGGGCCTTGCCTTTAGTTCTCTGCAGCCTGAACCCTTCAAGCTGCAGCATAAAATTGGACAAGCACCACTAGGGGTATGTATAGGGCTCTTTTGGCTAGGGAGCCTTCAGTTTTTGGCCCAACGGCATCAGGCAACTCTGCGCTTGATCTCAATGAGAGATATGCTTCTCCTAAACTCGCATTATCTCTCCAGCAAGGCACAGTGGAGCCTGTGTGGATTGAAAGATGAACTGCTTCCACGGGCAGGTGTGTCGAGACAGCTTGTTCACAGGTCTGTATCCCCCCACCATGTAGTAAAAGGTTATCGCACTGAGGAGCTGAGTTAAGAAAGAACTAGTTATTGTAAATGAACAGGATTTAACTGGTGATTCTAAATGTAGATATTTATTGTAGCTTTAAAAGAATATGGGAGTACCCTTATGAATGAGGTTATGAGTTTTGTTCTCAATCAAAATAAGGCATTATTTCTACCTCATCAATGAATCATAGTTAAAAACAGCTTCAAAACAAGCCTATTGGCAAATATTTAACATTTCTTTTGGGTTTTTTTTAGGGAAATCTTTATTTAAATAAAGACACTGACCTTTTAAGCGGTTCAGAAAAAGAATAAAAAGGAGCTCTGTTTTAACATGGTATAACACAAATTTGACGCATTTACTAACAGTTTTAAAGAGTGTGCGTTATTTATCTCCTTTATCTGAAAAGCAGTTCCCTGTGTCCAGGCTTCTGTCCAAATTGTAATAAGATAATACAACTAAATATTTCTGCAATTAATCAATTTTCCTCCCAGATAAACTTAAGATATTGCACTGTTCAAACGGTAGCTGGAGTGGAGAATCGTGCTGTAGGTAATTAAGTGCCTGTGAGCAGGCATAGATTCAGGAGTAAAGGCGCCCCTCACAGCTATACTGTACTGACAGTATGTTGCTTTATTTACCGAAAATCAGCTCAGGCAGACAGTGGCGTTCTCTTATATCACAGGCTGTACTATCTCATTCCAGAGTGGAGACAATATTGAAATAGCAAAACAGTATCTCAGCGAAGACTACAAAGGGGACGATCAGTGCCATACCAAGCAAGTGATCCTAGACAGTAACTGCCTTTGTCTCTACCCAAGGCGCAGAGATACCACAAGTCCTGATAAGAGATGGTGCTTGGCAGAAACAATTCTGTTTATAATATCACCCATCATGCTGAGAAAGCCAGAAAAATGTGAAGTCATGATAGCATCTGGCAGCCTGTATAAGCAATGTGTGATTACTTATCTTAGTCAGTGGAAGGCTCCAAACCACACCATCAGATAAATAAACTATGTTCCTGTTTTAAGATTTTTCTTTTGATTTTTTGCCCGACAGTGTAGGAAATTTCCAAGGCAAATAAAATGCCTTCACTCACATACTACAGTACTACTTAGTGGAAGGTGAATGCAATGTGTTTTAAGGCCGATACAATGAAGAAACTTTCCTAAGGAAAGTGAACTATTTTTCTAAGACTCCATGCAAAACTCTGAATGAGAAATGCACTGTTGTATAATGCTCGTGCGTTTACAACTACAATGTGCTTTTCCCCCCAGAACATTTGTAACTTCAGTTTGGAAAAAAGCATCATCAAAGGTTTGGAGTTTGTTCGCAAATGGCTTCCAAAAAAAGCAGGGACTGAAAGAATAAAACACAAGGTACTGTAACTCAACTTCATA